CATCATCCTATGCACTCACATTTTCACAAGAAAACACCTCATCATCCTCTACATTCTCATGATATGTAGAATTAACCACATCATCCTCTACACTGTCATGTCTAGGTGAACCAAACTCAGGAATTTAAATGCAATCTTCGAAATAGATATGTATCTCATTGCCATTACCTAAATTAGCCTCACACATGGCACATACATCAGAATCCTTACTAAGAGGTTTGAGACCTTGCTCTAAATCAGGTTCACCAGGCTTTAGCCACATCATCCTTTTACATTTTTCATATCCAAATTGCTTAAATAGAGTGTCAAGGTCACGCAAATTAACATAGTCAATATCCATCTCAGGCAATGAGTCAACTCTACCATTTACATAAGTAAGCACTCAATCATCATCTTTAACTAAAATACCCCCATGATGATAAATAATGACTATATATTCAGCCATCTGTACAAAAAATATATATAACATTCTTTAATCCAATAAATTCCAAAACTCCCAACACACCGTAAAGGAAATAATTTATAATAACCCATGAATAATAAAATTAAACAAACAGACAAATAAATATTCTTTGTCCACTTTGCATGTGGTTTTACTAACGCTTAGGTCAACATTCGACCACTTTACTGTAACAGGGACCATTCACTTTAAAGAGTTGCTTATTTTAAACCCTAAACTGAAACATGGACCGCATTGTCCAGGGAACATAGACAAAAAAAACACACATTACACAACAAAAAGTACAGGGATCCATACACAACAAATGGAAACTGGAATAAAAAAACTCTACAAAATTCATTACACTTACCTTAAACTGAACGAAGACCCTCGTACTACACCCAAGCGTGCAAAGCACGAATTCCCTGCTAGTGTTAAAACGTTGTAGAATCAAAACGAAAAATATGTAAAGTGTAATAGCCACAACATGATTCACAATTCCTTATCAACAATGGATGTCGAACTTCCAAGCCGCTGAAATGGTAAAGTGAACAACAGTTAGGTGAAGGGTAAATTTGGATTTTTACTGGTTTCTGCAACAACGTGGAGGTTGTTCTCTATACGACGACGTTTCTAATCCAACGTGGAAGGTGAGTTGCCTTACTAACGTTACACATCAGCTCCGTTAGTGATGTTGTGGGATTGTGAGTAACGAAAGGATTAATGTGGGTCCACTTTGCCTTTGTTGGGGACTTCAAAACTAATTTATTTTTGTGAGGGACCAATATGGGGACAGTATTTTTTGTCAGGGACCCAAATAAGTTTTTACTAAAAAAAATTCAATTCTTTGAACCAATTCTCCAAAAAATTTAATTTAATTTGACCTGTGTACTACCCTAGTTCGTGTTGATGGGGTTACTAGGTTGGTGTTTCAATGGCATGTCTAGATAGTATTATTAAAGTTTGGCTTCCTTAATAATTTAACTGTGAGCACTTAAGAAAAGGCATGAATCTATTAAAATGTATGAGCATGGATGGTGTATTCTAAAGCTATATTTGAATATATGAATTAAATGAAAATAGAATTACTATATTATTGTAAAGATATTTTTAATGAAATAGAATACAAATTTTACTTTAGTGTTTGAAAAAATGAACATAATGGTAAGAAAATTAGTTATTTTATTTTGTATTTGTGAATTAAAAAATAGAAAAATTGAATACAATATGATGAAATAGATTCTATCGTACTTCATTTTATTTTTTCTGGATTTTAAATAATTCAAAATATTATTTCATTTTCTTCTACTCAATCAATTTAAACGTAGTATGCATTCACCACCAAAAAAATATAGTGTGCAATTAGTAATAAATTATTTTATAACATTAACTCAAAACACTTTAAGTTTCACATAAAATGTAATTAATGTAATTTAATAAAAATTAAATTATTAAATATTTACATTTAATATATTTTTTATAGTTATATGTTTTTTTTTATTTTAAAATGCTTGATAGTATAAAATGAATAATTAATCATAAATAAAAATAAAATAAAATAAAATGGAGTGTATTTTTTTTTATATACCGATCCAAATTACCACTTTGAAGCAAGTCGGTCCCCAAATATTCTCAAAAGCTTCAACTATTTTAGCCGTCTATTAGGGGTGTCAATATAGGTTATAACACATAGGTCAACCCGCGACACTATACGAAAATTAGTGTTCAGGTTGACCCGTAAAAAATTTTGTGTCGTGTTCGTGTTGAAAAAAATGACGCGCAAAAAAATTATATCGTGTTGTGTGTCGTGTTGTGTTAACACGAATTTGACCCATTTTTTTTTAGTAAAGTTCTTTTTGGATCCTCAAGAAATATCACAGAGCCTAATTTAATTTCTTAGGAAAAAAATTTGACTAGTGTTCTTATAAAATTCAAAATAGTCTATATTTATTCAAATTTAATCAGCTAGTTGTTCAATGCAGGTAACATATTATGGTATAAAGCAAAATTCCAAACCATAAATAGTATGAACTATGCACAAACAACTAGTATGTATAAGCTACAAAAGAATAAGAAACCAATGTTGTATTAAATGTGTTTTATGGTTGGTTCTATCTGGTAACACTTCCTTTATAGAAAAACAACTTTGAATCAACTAGGAATCAGTCAAATCATGTAAAAGAGATAAATATTGACATCTAAGATCTGCCACCCTAAGTATTTAAATGATATGCTTCAAATTCTTGAACAACTTCAAATCCAAGGCCAGTGTATATCTTGAAAGCTCTGCAATTTCAGTTAGAATAATTACAAGGCATATTATATAATTAATTATCCTTCAAATACTTGAATAGGCTGCAAAAATTATGCCAATGTAGCCTGTGATGTTAAGGGAATAGAGGAAGACTTTCAAAGAGCCAGGTATTTCTATGAGAATCATCCATTGCATACAAATGTCTCGAATCATCCAAGGGTTAACTCAACTGATCTTATTTCTAAATTCAAAACCTTCCTGAATTAGCACATGCTTCTACATCACAAGGGTGTTGGTTTATCATAGATTAATATAAGAATAAACCCTCTTGCTTAACTTCAATACAATAAATGTTTTTGAAATTCCATTGATGATGTTAAACACTTTAGGTTTAGAACCTTTGGTATGACAATGGCAGTCTTTGTGAAATAACTAAGCTAATAGAGATTTCTGAAATTAATTTGACAATAATTTATGTATTTTAGCCATGTTGACTGCATTAATTGGATATCAGCCGCACAATTATCATTATGAACATTGTATAATATCAAAAAATACATATAAAGAAAATCATTTCATTGCATTTCAATAGTGGTCATTCCATTACATTTCATTACATTTCAACAGCATTACACTAGGTACATTTTTCCTCATTCTAGCCCACTTCCAACATAAATACATACAATGAACACAACAATAACGATAGCAGCTAACACCCTAACACATTTATCCACATGCCTAATTTTCTTCTTCACCATATCAAACTCTGGAACCATCTTCATTGATAGCTCATTAATCTTTATTTGATGCTCATTAATCTTCATTTGCGGCTCATTCACCTTAACTTGCAGTTGATCATTCAACTTCATGTCCACATAGTTCAACTTGAATTTCATTTCAGTTACATTCAACTCCAGCTTATCAATTCTACCTTCTTCCAGCTCCATCATATCATTAGTAGTATCATCCACCCATCTAAAAAAAATCATGGTAGGGCTTCTTCTCCTACTAGCAAATGAAACTAAACTCAGAATAACATTCAACTTAAATAAAAACGAATTAAAAAAAAAGTGAAAATTAGATCATGTGTATACTTCACTATCAATTGCTCACATTGAAATTGAGACACCCAAATAATTCTCTGTTTGGATTTCTTTGAGTTTTGGAGGTGCGCACAACACTTAGCCTCGTGCATTTACACCTTGGAGCAGTAGTCCTTCTTCGGCTTATAGCCCCAATTGAACTGCTTCCACTTGAGCCCTCATCCCAGTAGAAATATTCATCTTCTCACCCTAAATTACAAAGTACAGACAACAATACCTAAACCATAATTACAAAATACAGGCAATAATTCTCTCCTTTTTACAAAGAACCCAACAACGATTCTCTCCAAATTACAAAATACAAGTAAGGAGTAAGGAAAAGGTTGGAGTAGCCAGAAGGTTGATCACGACGTCGTTTTATGTCTTATATGGAATGTGACTCAGTCAGTTAACATTACACGTGAGCAACATTACTAATGTCGTTCGAGCTTCACTTACAAAAGAACTAACGTGGGTCTACTTTGAATTTCAGAGGGAATACTAGTCGACTTTTTTTTAAAGGGATTAAATTGGGTCCCGTGATATTTGTTGAGAACCCAAAAGGGATTTTACTCTCTTTTATTTAATTTTGATCGAATTTTTTTGGATTTTTTTATCAGTTACCATTTTGACCCATAGTTTGCGTGTTATTCGTGTCGTGTCTTATCAACCCGCAAAAAATTCATGTCGTGTTTGTTTTGCAAGTATTCTTATCGTGTCAAATTCGTACCGTGTCGTGTGGACCCATTTTGACGTATACTAATCCAGAGTGTAATTTAGAACCAAATTGAAAATGTGCGAATATTTATGGAGTGTAATTACACAATGTGTTTTGTCCGTATGTAATAAGCAGAAATTTTGTAAATAAATGAGTAAATATTATTTTGGGTCCCTAACAAAAAATACGGTCTCCACTTTAGTCTCTTATACAAAAAATTAGTCTCGAGATCCCTAAGAAATTCAAAGTAGATCAATTTTAGTTTTTTTTGAGAGACTAATGTGGATCTTTTTTGAATTTATGATGGACCACGATTTCAAGAACCCAAAAATATATTTACTCTAAATAAATTGCAGCATATTTCGCATTTGTTTAGGAAAATATTAAAAATCCTCTCAAGAAAATAAAAAATAAAAAATATTTCTCCATTTCTCTGTGCCCATGTTTCCCAATTCATTTTCTTATTACTTTCAACTTAGCTCTAGGTCGTGTACGTGTTTGGGAATCGCAAAGCCCAACCCAATCGAATAGTCTATTTCCCTGGAGATCCTCACAACCACCAAAGAATTAAAGTCAACCACGAGAAGGGGTTCGCGAAGGCAACTTCTCCAGGTACAAGCAAATTCAAACACTATAGAATAATATTTGCAATTTTGTTAATGGACATAGCAATTATCGGAATTCTATTCGCGTTCTAACTAATCTCTGCCTTTTTCTCTCCATAATGCAAATTTTGCTTACTCTTTTCTAGAACACTTGTTAGGTTCGTTATGTTTCTTAATCTTTTTACTATTTTTGGTCCCACATTATTCCACTTCCACAAGTTGCCTTGCCATCCATTCAAGCTCCAAATCTGTTTTCTAAACCATTTGTTACTGAGTTGCAAAGATAGTGGCATGACATTCAACATATTCTTCAACTTAAAATATAGAGCAGCTACTAAGTTCACTGGTTAGTGGTTAATAGGATACACAGCAATCAATCATCATTTACATGTCTTTGTTTCAAAGAAATCAATTACGTAGTTGAGGTGATTTTCTTACTTATTTCACTCTTGCATATATGTTCATTTTTCAGTCATAACAGCTTTAGTTTCTGCAAATCATATTTATTGTGTCTCCTGAATTTTTATTTTTTTTTACTTTTTGAATGTGATAACTTAGATCACGTGTAAAGCCTTGAATAATTAAAATTTGAACTCATAATTGAGGACCACTTTGGACTAAACAACATTGAAAATGTTTTAAGTGACTTATCTAATTTGACAAGATACTAGTTGAGTTCAGTATTCTCAGTTTGATGTTTTTTCCATCTGTCTGCTCAGACTGGAAGCAATTCTCATTGCAGTTTCTTATTTGATATCCCTACAAGTTTTCAAGCAGAAGCTCCTTTAGAGTGTAACCGGAGGAATGAACACACCTGCCCTAATAGTTATTAGTACTGCCACAGCTGTGCCACTTGTGAAAGCAGAGTCTTGTTTTATCCCATTTGATCTTGTTTATACTGGGTTTCTTTAACATTGTTTTTGATGATTACTCTGATAGTTGGTGCAGTAGGAGAAGCCTGAGGAGCATGCCTAGTCTGATGTAGAGGAAATAATCATAGAAGTAGCAGCAAGAGCACAAGGATTATAGTTATCTTCTGTTCTTCACTCATATTTGTTGTCATCTTGCTCTCAAGAAGATGCTCGAAGACAACAGGTACATTCTCAAATGTATCTCTTCCATTAACAACTAAATCAAAATATAAAAAATCAGAAACCTTCTTACCCTCCTAGATCTTCATTTCTTTCTAATGAATTCATTAATGTTTTCAAAACTGTTGTGTATTCCCTTTGAATTTTATCAGGCTCTAATTCTGTTTTTTCATAGAAAAACATAGTTGTTTTACTTGCATTGAGATCCAACATATGGTATCATCTCTTCTTTATTTTGTACAAATATGATAGTCTTCCTGGATTTTGTGATGGCATATTCCTATTTGTTGTAGTAATTCTACTTTAGGGATCTTCATAAGAGTTTGCGAGTGAAACCAAAAGAGGGTTTATTTGGATCTCTCAAAATGGGTTTGGCTCAACCTACAAAATAGGTGGGTTGGGTTGCAAAAATAATTGAATCACCAGACCCTGGGTCACGTCGACTTCGCTCACATAATTTGTGGGTAATCCAGGTTCGAGCCGGGACAGCCCCTTTTTGGCATCTATCTATGTTCTGAGTCAAGGTCATGGCATATTGCCCCTCTGCCATCGTGAGTAAGTTCAGATTATCAAAGAAGAGAAAAAACCTCCCTTGGCCAGTGCCATAACCTAGACTGTCTGGATGAGCAACCACCACCGTGAATCTATCTCACCAGCAATTTTTCAGGCTCATTTTGAAAGCTGTAGGTTTGTTTTGTTAACGTTGTGTACTCCTGTAGTCCCCTTGGTTTTTAAGTATATCACATCCAAAACCATTAGTGATTCCCTTTCTCACTTCTTTTTTTTTTTTTCAGAGTAGCTAATTAATTCTAGTTTCTTCCTCTTAATTCTCTTGGGTCTTTTGTGCTTGTTGCCATTTGGGCATTGGGGATGGTAGTCTCTTGTCATTTCTTGCAGATGCTAAGTTTTTGCTTCTTGAAACTTGCTTAAAATATAAACATAGTCATACTGTGACACATAATTTTTTTTAAAAGAAATACTAATTTACTTCTTAGTTAATAAAGTGTTCTGTGTTTGTTGCTTAACTTCCTGTGGCCATGGTCTGCTACTTCATTTAACATGCTGTAATTATGCAGGAAACAAATCATGTTCATGGGCTGTCAGAAACCAGTACTTTTGTTTGACAGGTTTGATATTATTGTTATTGTTGATCTCCTGAAATCGCAAATTGTCGACAATTATTATCATTAAAAGACCTTCTAAATTGCTACGGAGCTTTTTTCTTTTGGGAAGCTAAATTGCTACGGAGTTAATCTTGTATTTGAGGTTCTTTATTTGTTTGCTTCACTTCGTTATTGTGAACTGATTGGTTCTTTATTCGAGTCAAAACAAAACTCCTAGTATCTATCTGCAAGTGAGAGAAAAACTCAAATCTTATTCACTTTCAACTATGATTTACAATGCTATTATTCTACTATTTATACAGCAATTCTCACAAACCAATTCTAAATGATGAATAAATATAACTAACTTGATAATTAACTCTTCTAATGTACTAATCTAGATTCGTGTATTCTATATATATACCCTTATTCGCATCATAAGCTATTACTAATCTGTAACTAGGAAGTGCACTTGAAAAGGATATATTCTGGGTAATTTCTTTCAGTTTGAGATTTAGACAACCAATTAGTGAGCTAAAATTTTCCTTATTAAAACAGTTGGAACTTGTGGAAATAGGATAATTTCTGGTGATTGTAAGAGGGGGGTTATTGCTGCAGTAGATTCATGTTTTCATGTAGGGCCATAATTCATACTCGGCTTGTCAATCAATGATCCCTTTGGATTTTTTTCCCGTACTTGCATCAATTGTGGGTGAGAGTCTGAGAGAGAGGAATGAGAAACTGAATTAATTCTGAAAGGCATGATAAGAAATGTGGCTCCACTACGGCTATAGGCACCACAAATTTTAGATTCGCTGTCTGCTTGGTGTACGCTTAAAATTTTAAAACACGGACAATTATTATCTATATTGGAGTTGTATTTTAACAGAAATGGCGTTTTCAGTTCGAGGAATGCAACGTTATAAACGGTGCCAAAATATCCGTCTCATGCTTTGGTGTTACTTTTCAGTGTCTAAATTTGATTGATCGTTGAGGTTCTCGTGTTCTTTTCTAATATCTAGTAACTAGATACTAAAAGGATCAATGATTGTTTTTTTTCCCTTTTTAATCCAAGTTTGATATATTGCTTGGTTAAACGAATCAGCAGGGTCGTAACGCATGACATTTATTTGTGTATGGAGGGAAAGAATAGAAGAATATACGCAATTTGATAGATCATTTTGGCTTTGGAAGAAAAGATCGGGATTACTGATTATTCCCCGTTTTATGCCGAACAAGTGAAGGATTTTAATTCGGTGCAATGTATTTGGCATTTGCCGTTAAAGAGAAAGAAAACGAAAGCGTATCAAAGAAAGAGAGGAGGCCCCAGCGGTTCCTTGGCGATGGCGTGTCGTACATAACCTCTCAGAATGTGTTGGCCTATGCCTATCCGTGAACGGCTATCAAACCTCAATTATTCTTGCCGATGAGTCTCAACTGCTCAATAAAACAAAACTTGAAAACAAGCACGGGTTGTCTTGATGCCTTAATAAATAAAGCTAACATGTGTCGTTATCAAGATCTATTCCATTATAGTGACCATATCAAACTTTATATGCTTAGCTTGTATAAATTTTTCTCCTTTTGTTTTTGTTCCTTTTTTAATTCCCCCACTCTCCATCACTCTTCAATCCATGAATGGATTACATCGCGTGCAGGATACAGAGAGGCATTTACTCATCCAGCTCAAAGTGGATCAGAGTGGTTGAATCACTGTTACTATTTATAACCTCGAGCTCATATTGGGATTGGACTTTCACCACCATATCCCCCTAATTTAAGAAAAAACATTTAACTATAGATAGTTTCTGGTCGATTTCCCGGGACAAAACAAAGTGAGCTTCCACACCAATTGTTCTCGTTTAAAAGGGCTTAACCTAACAATCTTCACTGCTGTACATATGTGAAATCAATGCACATTCCTTCATCAAAAAGAAACAAAAATACAAGACAAACGAGGAGTCAGAATCAGAAGATTAAAGAGGACAGAAGTCTATTTACTATTCTTTTATCATGTCCACACACAACCCAACCCACCAACCGAAAACTTTGTTCCTTTTTTGTATTTGGATCCACACTGTTAAACAAATATTGAAGCAGAACAACCAGTCAGTGACATGACTGAGGAAGTAGTAACTGCATTCGATCACAATCCATCATGTTACAGTGTAATAATCATGACGAGGCTATGTGCAAAAAAGATAAAGTAGGTTTTACAAGTATGATCATGATCCCTAATAACACCATCTGTCAGTCATCAGAAAGAAAAATTACATGTACCAGTACTGGAGTTCTCACCTAAGTCTCTCAGAAAAAAAAAAAAAAAAAAAAGTCAGCAAAAAATAAATCACATAGAAGCATTAATAGAGTTATCATCTTCATCATCTACTCTTCTTTCAACATATGTGAAGGAACAACATCTTGAAGAAGCCCATGATCCCTTAGAAATGCAGTCGTCTCAGGATTAAAAAGCCTTCTCTCTTGAGTAAAAGCACCGTTCTTTGAAGATGAAGAATCGTTGTAAGGGAAACCCAAAGAGGACAATGTATTGACAAGGAGTTGTTGTTGATGATGGTGGTGCTGATATTGGGACAAGTAGTTTCCAGGAAAAACTGAACCAAAGTTGGTGGCGGAGACACCAGGTGGTAGTGGAGCACCGGTGAGGCCTGAGCGTGGCATAACTGGGCTTGGATGTATGTGTTGGCCTTCATAGGTTGTCACTACGACGCTTGGATCAGTAAAAGATCGTTCCACGCGTTTCTTTACATTACATGAAGCACTGGTGCAACGATAATAGCTCCTACATATATATATACATACACAAACATATATTAATGTTAAGAGCATTTACTTATTTATTGGGGTATAAATTAATTAAAGCAAGAGAAGAAAGAAATGAAGGAAGGAGGTGAGTTAAGATTAGAGTGTTAATGGAGAATTAAAGCATATACCTTGGGAAGGGGCTGTTTTTCACAGCCTTTTGACCGTACTTTCTCCATCTGTACCCATCTTCCAGATGATCGACCTCGCTTTTCGTCATGAACGCGAATCTCGGTTCTTTATGTCTCTTCTGATTTGTCTTCTTGGCCTTCAACCTAAACCCAATAAGAACCAGATCCCAGAAACCATCAAATCTTAGAACGTTCCTAGCTAACATTTAACCACATGTATTATATAAACAAAACAAAACAAAACAAAAAGCAAGCCCATCATCTTATTTGTTTATCTAATTAATTGGATATATTGTGAAATATGTTCTCCCTTGCGAGATTAAAGCAAAAGTAGATACACAAAAACACGTATACTTTATATCAGGCCACCCAAATTACGTTCTTCACATCCCATAAACCATTCACTTGTGAAGTTAAACTTTTGAAAAAATGAATTTTAACAGACACCCCCCAAAAAGAATAAAAGCCTAAATATTAAATAACTGCACAAAATAAAAACAACCCACCATCCTTATCCTCTCTTTAAAAAAAATGAAAAAAAAAAGGATTTTCAGTAAGGAAACAAAAAGAGAGACAAATAGAAAAACCCACTGTTTCTTGGTCTTATTTTGTTGTCCTTCTTCTTCTGCTTGGTCTAGAGTCTTATTCTGTTCATCAGTGACTGCCTCGCTGGACGCTGATGAAATCGAAGAAGAGTTAGGAGTGGGAGGTTGCTGGTTCAAAACCTCAGAACACTCTTTCCCAGCATCAGAAGGAACCTTAACTGTAAAGTGATGAGGCACAGACATAGTTGATAGTTGCGGTAAATCAAGCAGAGGATTACAGTCCTGCACCCCTAGTAACTCCATAAACCCTAAAGAGTTCTTTTCCACCTCAGAGAAATGATCGAACACGCTCGAGAATGGATAACCGTTTGAATTATAACCAGGGAAGGAAGAGGACCCAAGAGCATCCTCCATCTTCACAACCATGTCCTTCTTCTCCATATGCCTATATATCTGATCTCTCTCAAATGCTCAAACCCAAATCCAAACCCTTCATTTCTCAGCACACGCAAACTCAAACCTTGTACACTTGAGGTAGTAAGAGGATGAGAAATATAGGGTTGATCTGGTTTATAGCTAGTGTGTGTGTGTGTGAGAGAGAGAGAGAGAGAGAGAGAATGAGAGAGATTTTGTGAAGGTGTTTTGGATTTACAAGAAAGTGAAAAGCTGTGTGGAAGGAACAAAGGCAGTAATGAAGGCAAGACTTGACCGGCTATTGTAGGTCATCAACTGGTACAGACAACGTTGTAGCCGGTGGCATTCAATGCATGAGGGGACTTACCATGGTCGACGCTTTCATACGTAGCGTTTGACCGCTAAATAGGTTTAGTGTGTGAACGGGGTTCCGCATGCACCGCCAAGTTCTGGATTCTAACGGCGTTAATCTTTTTCTTTTTTTCATAAATCACAGTTATTCTCCGCTGAGGTAAACTACCATCATTTGGTGGCGTTAAATATTTATATGTATTCATTTACAAAAAAAAAAAAAAAAAAAAAAATTTATATGTATTCTTTTGTAAATGCCTGTAATAGTGTTCGTTCGTGTGCATGTGAAGTGGGGATCCTCAAAGTTATGGTCACTTTCTTCACTTTTTTTTTTCTTTAGCACTTTCCTATTTTTATTTTTTATTTTTTGGTTTCATTACGCGAAACATTTGAAGCAGGTATGAACGCTTTTGTATTCGGCTTACTCCTTACAAACGTAAGGAATTTATGAATAAATTAAGAAAAAAGGTTTGCCTTTAAAAAAAGGCGCGGCATGACCCCAAAAAAAAAAAAAAATTCTGAAATTAATAAATTAATTAAATTGGTGACCCTTAATCCCTAATTCCACGTCTCTGACCTCATGAGAAATCAATATTTGACACTAATGTACACGCATATACGATCCCATCTCTAGCATAATTACCATACGTGTAAGTTGTCGGTGGATGCGTCTGTTTTTTTATGGTTTTTTCTCGCAAATAAAAGCATAAAACTCTTTTTAAATTTCATTTACAATTCTACATACACAATCGAGAGTTATAGGGAGAGAGTAATATATATCTGATTTGTATGAAAGGATTAAAACTTGAGAGTTAGAAAAGCAACAGCCAACAGGAAAGTCACAAAAGAAAAAAAAAAGGGGGAAAAATAAGAAATCAAAAAAGTTGCAAGATATGGAACCCTTTTCCGCAATTCTTCTCTTTGTGTGAATGGGAAAAGTTCATGCACGTGTGGTTTTAAGCGAGCCACGCCCACGAGAAGCATGCTGACATAGTTTCCGTGTTTGAGCACGCGATTCAATAATTCTGTTTTTTTTTTTTTTCTCAATTTGCTGAGTATTTCATTACGGGGAAACAATCGTATATACAGTACAAGTATGATTATGTAAATATCAATGAAAGCATTATCATATAAGCCATTCGTACACACACATCAGAAGATATTAATTTATATATATATGTATGGTCATAAGATATTCTTGCCATACAAATAAAATAAGAGAGAAAAAAAAATCAACAAAAAGAGGGGAGTAGAGGTATGTACAATAAAGCAATCATATAAGGTTGTTTAAGGGTATATCATAGCAAGATTGGTCGCAGAGGAGAGAGGTCTCTTTTCTCTTTTTATTCCCATCACTAATTGAGTAGTACTATGTACGTAAAGTCCGTTCAAGATTGTTTTGTAACAATGAGTAATCTCTTGGAGTTATCTCCTATAAACAGCTCCTCTAAATGCTGTCAGATCTGTTTGGTTTGTACCATTTGATACTTCACCTATTCAGCTATTCTAATGGATGCACACAAAAAAACCATGTTCTCTCCTTCCGTTTCAATTTCTTTAACTCGATGGGCCCCTAATCCCTACTCATAATTCTATCGTATCAAATCATTTACTGAATTGAAGTACCGGTCACAGCAGAGTGGAGTGGATTCAGAGAGGAGGGGGGGGGGGGGTATTGCGTTTTCAAGCATAAATATGTAGTTCAAATGAGGGATATTTCCTACTCATTAGGTATCCTATGGAGCATGTTTGAGTAAGTGGCATATACTAATTACTAAGCCATCTAGCATTAATTTTTTTTTTTTTTTTTATAGATTTTTCAATGATAATATCACATGAATAATAAATATCTTCTTATCAAATTTTTAATACAACTACGTATCCAAGGCTAGACATAAATGCATAACTTTAATCATAAATCTATGGTATTTTTTAGCATCATATGGAACAACTAAAATTTGAACATAGAAATATACGACCCGCGCGATGAATGCAGCCCACACTTTTTGACTGTCTATGAATACACCCTCCCAAAAAAAAATTTAGATTTAAACTTCAAATAAACTCATGGGTTAAGTGGGATTCTATATATATATATATATATATATATATATATATATATGTGTGTGTGTGTGTGTGAGGTAGGATCATTTGACACCAGTGTCAAATTTGAAATTTGACACCTCGTCTGAGAGCCGTTAGATAAAAAAAGATCAACGGCTCTGATTTGTAAGCATGTGATGACACCATTGATTTTTTTGATCTAACGGCTCTCAGATGAGGTGTCAAATTTCAAATTTGACACCGGTGTCAAAGGATCCTGCCTATATATATATATATATATATATATATATATATATATATATATATATAAGGTTATCTACAGCTACTCCTTTTTTAACTAAGTACGACCGGTCGTACTTAGTGCCTGTTTGGATCATCTCTTTTTTAAGCTAGAAGCTACTTATAAGCATAAGCTAGGCCAAACAGGTTTTGGGAAAAGCTCTTATAACGAAAAGCTCTATTTTTTATAATGAAGAAAAAAGCTAAAAACTAAAAGCTCCTAAGAGGAGCTTTTATTTAAGCTCTTATTTGTTTTTCTTGAATTGTGTACTTTTTTTTTTAAAATAAAGAGTGATAAAGATAGAGAAAGATAATTTTCTTGAAATATGTGCTTTTAAGTAATTTTCAAGCTAAAATTTTTATGTAATTTCCAAACAGCTTTTAACTTCTTTTTTTAAGCTCTTATTTTTAGCTTTAGCTTATAAGTAGCTTCTAGCTCAATAAAGCTGTTCTTTTTTTCTCTCTCCTTAGACACTGTCGGCTGACATGGCAGAGAGAGAAATGCACTTTTAATGTACGACCGGTCGTACTTAGTTAAAAAGGGATAGCTGTAAACAACCTTATTTAAAGTGGCTGCAGAAATATTTTTCATATATATATATGGGGCAGGATATTCTTACACCGGTGTAAGAATTAGAAGTCTTACACTCAATCTTGACCATTGATCTACTTGTATCCAATGACTCACATTACTAAAAAAATTTAGCCGTTAGATATAAATGAAATCAACGGATAAGATTGAGAGTGTAACTTACACTGGTGTAAATTGATCCTGACTATATATATATATATATATATATATATATATATATATATATATATATATATATATATATATATATATTTTTTTTAGAAACAATTCCACAAAAATTGAAAAGTAATGAAAATTGAAGGGACAAGAATTGGAAGGCCCGAAAGGGTTTATCCAGAAAATCCAAAAGAAAGATTGATATGATATAACGTAGCTAGTTCTCTTTGGCGATAGCATCACAAGCCAGGATACACGGTTGCCGGCCTTTGAGGGGTGATGGGTCCCCTTTGCATCTCCATGCGCGTGCTGAGGAGAAAAAATACAAAAATAAAAATGGCTACATGTAAAAAATTTAATATACTTTGAAAGTAATATATATTTTATTTGATCAGATAAATTTTATTAAACAATATTTAAATTTAATTTTTTGTTTACAAAATTACGCAGTATACATGTCATTTTTTTTATATTAAATTAAGTGGAGCTAGCATTACAGAGTTCACGTAAGGTACTGTTTGGTTGAGACTTTCTTAAAAGTTACCCATGCAAATCAACTTGGCAATAGTTAAAGTCTTTGTTTGGTATGTAGTTTCTTAAAATTAAGAAAGGCTTTCTATTTGCATAGTTTTTCAGATTTGGTTGTAGAAATCGAGCATCAATCACTATTACGAAAGACATCTTGGACCTAGTTTTTGTTAGTTAGCTTGGTAAATGGCAAAAGGTGAAATCCAACGCAGACCAAAATACCCCTTATATTTGTAATTTTATTGGACATGGTTTTTGTTGGGCATGATTTTTGGGGTTATATTTGTAATTTTATACAATTTACCCATCATTATTTTCTCCTCAATCAAGCATAGGTAACACAAATTTTAATCAATTTATCTGGTAAAATTTGTCCCAATCAAATAATTTTTTTTTAACTTTTTTATCTAATTCACTTTTCTATCTAATTTATTTTTTCGGTAGATTCCTGGTAATTATATTTTCCTGATGAATTAAAATTTTCAGTTCAACCAAACAACACCTAAATCCTATCTCGTCTTTTCCTTCGAAATCGCACACGAGTGATTCCTTATACACCTCAAACAGTCACTTCCTAATCCTATGCATTCCGTGCCCACTGACCACCCACACTTGGTAACCCTACGAGAAAAAACTTCAATTAATCAGACCACCAAACTCGATGTTTCTTTTTATAAAAAGAATTTTTTTTAACCTATACTTTTTTTATATTTCACTTTAAATATTAAAAAAAATTAATAAAAAAGAGCACCGAATTCAATAATTTTGATGCATTTAAGTGTTTCTCGTAACCCCATTCCTAAATAAATATATCCAAGCTTATTTCTACTTTTTGTATCTCACGTCATAACCACGTTATGCACTTCCTTTTTTTTTTTTTGGATAAACGTTATGTACTTTCTTTATTAATGCGAGGATAGGTTCTTCATGTTCCCAAGTTCCTTTTTCTGTGTTATCATATTTATATGGATCAACATATGGGAAACAACTGATCAACTATTAATTCTTAAAAGATTTTAGTCCTTTTTATTTCTCCTTGATATATGATTTAATATTTATCTAATCAATTAATTATGCCTAACTTTTATGGTTGAAAAAAGTTAATCTCTACCTGCTCAATCGGTTAATAAGGTTTCCACTTTCCACTCTCTACAACGTTACCAAAAAGTAAGCATATGCTTATTTACTTAATATATACAATATACCTACCTAACTGTTGAAAGACGTATTTCAACACCAAAAAAGAGAGAGAGAAAGGAC